GCCATGTGGTCACCTCCGGGGCAGGTGGGAATCGAACTCATGCGGAAGTGGCTTTAGCTTCTCAGTGCTGTGCTTTAACCCGCTGTGCCACCAGGGAGGGCCTAAACATTTCTTTTTAATGAAAAGTTAAAATCTATTGTCATCATATTTCTACTACCAGAAAATAGTTCCTTGAAAAAAAATTTCCAGAATTAATTGATTTATCTGAATTCCTAATAATTTTCAGATCTCACCACAAACTGACTTATATTTCATGTTTGGGGAAATTGTCACCTTTGTGACCCTGAGCTTCCTGGGGGAAAAATCTTTAAAAACATGAAAAAAGATAATTTAGTGAGTTTTTATTTAAAAATTACCAAGTTAATGGATCCAAAACTGGAAAAGGATCTCTCCAACTTCCTCAAGTGACTCAAACATGCTTTGTATTTGGCGCCACCTTATGGCGCATTATTGAAACTACAGCTGGTTATATCCTACATGGTATCACGTTTCTCTACCAGTTAAAATTTAATATCGTAAACACTAACCATTATTAGTTTTCAAATTTACAGAAGTGTTCGTTTAAGTTAGTAAGATCACCAATAGAATGTTTTACCTTTAAGTCGTTTCATGCAACCCTAAACCTTCCTCTAACTGGCCTTTCCCATTTTATCCTTCTGAAACACCCAATGATCATGGGGGTGGGGGGTGTTATTTACTGTCCAGCCCACCCATAACATATTACCCCTCTGACTTGGAAGTTTCTAGATGTCGCCTGGGCCATAGGATCTTACACTCTAGATTCAACAGTGGACTGAGCATGAAGTCAGAGTCGCTAGCTCTCACCAGAAAGCCAAGGTGGAGCGCTCTAGCACTGGAACCATCTGCAGGTGAATCTGTCCAGCCATCCTCATGTTGTCATGGTTGTTGACAACAACCCTGTCTTGTAATCGATACAGGACAATGTAGTAGCTGAGCACTGCCAGCCAGGAAAACAACCATGTTCCTGGCAGAGGCCTGCGGAGTCAAGATGTGGCCAATGTCGCCACCTGCTGGCTCCACAGCAAAGTACAACTAGGATGACATGCCCAAGCACATCCTGTCTTCCTCCTAGAAGTAAATTCAAATAAATTTAGCTACCTTGATAAATAAAGTAGCTGTCTGAGCCCCTGCATGTCACAGGCACCACGCTATGTGGTTCAGCAGTTTTACCTCATTTGAGTTCCACAACCATCCAATGTAAGGTAGACCTTACAGTAAACTCATTTTACAACAGGAAAGAGAAACAATGAAAAAACTTGGCTAGGAGCAAATCATGTAGCAAAGCTGCCGTGGGAAACCACCACTATGATGTGCTACTTGCTGCATCTCCTCATAATATCATAAGGTATCCAGAAACTGTTTGTCTCCATGTTGTAAGGATACTGATGTGGAGAGAATTTTTGACCAAGGTCACAGATCAATCTTCAACTTAGGAACTGGGCATCTGAGTGAACCATGTGACAGGGGAGAGGGGTCCCCTGAAGATGAAGACTTCATCTACAGACAGGAAGCCAACCACATCTGTCCACAGTGCAGGCATCCTAGACTGCCTGGGAAATGTACTTGGAGACAGAGATGGAATCCTGTCTTTCCTACTCGATAAAAGTTCTAGAAAAAAGGACCTACTAGTCAAGGAGGATCACTGCCAAATTTTTTTTATATTAAATTTCTTTTACATCATTCTTCATTTGTGCATTTTTCATTAAGTTGTAATCCCCACGGGCTTCCCACCACCAATTCACCTTTGTGCCATTACCACAGTCCAATGCATTCTTTCCACCCCAGTTCTAATTCCATCCCCCTTTCCAAAGTCTCTGGTTTATAGTTGTTCGTCATTTTCATTTTTACTCTATTACATTTGTTTTTCTCTCTCCCCCCACCCCCACCCCTGATCCCTTATACTCCTGCTATGAGTGAAGCCATCCAGTTATTTTCTTTTTCTTTCCAGCTTATTTCACTAAGCATGATCCCTCCAGCTCCATCCATGTTTCTGCAAAAGGCATGAGTTTATATCTTTTTTGATTGCTCAGTTATATTCCATTTTGTGTATGTACCACATCTTTTTAATCCAGTCATCTCACTGCCAGATTTTAATAGCTAGTATTATACTTCCCCACTGCCACTTCTTCAAGGTAAGGCTTGCTGATACTGTGAAAGCATTTAATGTAAATGGTGGCTTCCTTGGCTAGAACAGGGACTTCCAGCAAGGCCAAATGGCTC